GCATACATATTCGGCGTCCTTGAGGTTCTTCAAAATCAAATACCTACAAGACACATCTCTTGCCGAGCACCACAGCGATGCCAATCGTATTGTCAGTCAAATGATCATTGACTTTTACAGTAGATACATAACTCCAATTTGATATGAGTAGTTGAGGAGTTGGGGCTGCGACAAAAAATTGAGTCTTAAGATTGCGCGCCCTGTAAAACTATTAATATTCTGCACTGTCCAGCTAACACAATTACGCTGTGTTCATACTAGCTTCAGAAATTGATACTGAGCATTCCGAATACTCGCCACTTCGCCCACTCTGTCTCTCTCACTATGAACGTAGCACCAGGAGCGTTCTAGTTTCTAAGCACTAGTTCTAAGCCTTGTTCTATTTTCAGCCTCAACTACTACTCAGTTAACGTAAAATACGAATTCCGGAATATTATCGATCTCGCTTTTGGCAGAACAGCCTGAATTTTACGATGATCAGTTTGGTTCAAGAGGTTTAACATAATATAAGAGATCATAAGGCACTTATATTTTCGTTCTTTGAGACCCTGATAGCGCAGAGTTCAGTCCAGTCTGGCGGAACACTAACACTATTGTCACTAACCGGCTTACTTATCAGCGAAGGAGCTTGTCGCAATGGTCTCCTCGTGTTTCGACTTGCCGTGTATAATAGAAGTATATTCACCCTTCTTGTGTCGCTCTACAGATGACCACACCTGATGCATCACTGTTACTCTTATCAAACCACCAAAACCCCGTACTTTGGAGACCCATGGACAAGTGGTGTCCACTATGGTGACGCCCTTCCGCTTCAACTCCATCATTTCCTTTACAGCAGCTCCTAACACGGAGCTCTCAAAATTGTGTCACTAAAAACATAAGGTCCTCCTTACCAAATGCTGGTAGGATGACCACGTCCCCAGCACTGACGACCGAGAAGTCCTTTTGATTGCCAGCATCTCGAGGATGTACTCAGCAAAGACGTACCACGTGAGTTCAGTGAGCGCTCTCTACCTTATACCA